GCTCAAGTGAGTATCGGGTGTACTGCTGATTTATTGTCGGCATCGAAATAGAGTGAGTCACGGGTGTGTTGTCGACCTCATGCTGGTGCTGCAGCAGGGGGGGGGAGGAAGAGGACATCAATAAAGTGCTCAAGTGAGTAACGGGTGTACTATTGATGATTGCCGTTTTCGGAATCATGAAGATTGGGATTAAGGAGATGCCGAACTCAGTTGGATTGACTTGAGACTGAGTTGCCACTTTGTCTCATTCTCCTCCCCTCCCTCCTTCCCCTCCTCTTCCTCCCCCCATCTCCATCCCCCCCTCCCCCCCCCTTCCCCAGGTACTTCTCATACGAGCATTTCTACGTGGTGTACTGCAAGTTCTGGGAGCTGGACTCGGACCACGACTTCCTGATTGACAAGGACGACCTGCTGCGATATGGCAACCACGCCCTCACCTACCGGATAGTGGAGCGCATCTTCGCCCAGGTGAGCGCATCTTCGCCCAGGTGAGGCTCTTTGCTCCGATGTAAGTATGCGTGATTGGAAAGCGGATTCTTCAAAGTTGGGCAACCACGCGCTCACCTACCGGATAGTGGAGCGCATCTTTGCTCAGGTGAGCGCATATCCGCTCAGGTGGGCATCTTTGCTCAGGTGGCCGTTTGTGCGCATCATATGCAATGGTAGGGAAGAGATGTGACTCTGTTGTCGTCCTGCGTTTCTCTTCTGCTCTTTTCTCTGTTTGTGCTAGCATGATGGCATCATCCCTTCGTTAGTAGTGGCGCCCGTCTCAGACTTTCCTCTAACAAATTCTTTCACTCTGCCTTGTTTCCGTGCTGCCAGGTGCCGCGCCCGTTCACGAGTGGAGTGGATGGCAAGATGGGGTATGAGGACTTTGTATGGTTTATCCTATCAGAGGAGGACAAGTCGTCTGAGCCCAGCCTCGAGTACTGGTGAGTCGCATGGATAGGTTGGTTGTTGATGGTGGGCCGTGGGAGGGCTGTAGTAGTGTATGGGTGCATCATGTCTGTGTGGGTGCTTGTCGCATCCACGCATGTATCTATTGAGGCTTGTGTGCCGTGTTGTATCCGTTCTTTGCCTGTTGTAGAAATTTTGTGCCATGTGCATGTGTGTGTTCCCCCTCCTTTCCTCCCCACCCACCTCAGGTTCCGGTGTGTGGACCTGGATGGCGACGAGCGCATCACGGCGCCAGAGATGCAGTACTTCTACGAGGAGCAGCTGCACCGCATGGAGTGCATGGCACAGGAGCCCGTGCTCTTCGAGGATGTCGTCTGCCAAATGGCCGACATGATCAAACCCGCGGTGAGCCCCAGGGGAGAGAGACATGCAGGCACAGAGCTGTACGCTTGGACTGCTATGACAGATACCTGGTACTTGGGGTTAGAGGGCTTGTCCGATTGAGACAAGTGCAAGGTCAGTTGCTGGGTTATATGTATGCTGTTGTCTCTACTGTTTGCCCTATTTCTTCGTCCTGATGTCTCCTTGACTCGTCTATTGTTTCCCTGAGCAGAAGGATGGAGTGATGACGCTGCGGGACCTGAAAGGGTGTCGGTTGTCTGGCAACTTCTTCAACATACTGTTCAACCTAAACAAATTCGTAGCATTTGAAACACGTGACCCTTTCCTCATTCGACAGGTCAGTCTTTCCTCTCATTTTTCACAAGCAGGGCTGTCCACCTCTGCGAAGTGCTTTCTTCTATGCACAATCCCACAGCCTCCTGTGCACTCTGTTTCAAGCGAACTGCTGTTTCCTTTTTCTTACAGGAGAGGGAAGACCCTACACTAACAGAGTGGGACCGCTTTGCTCGAGCTGAATACATCCGGCTGTCTATGGAGGATGAAGGTGATGATGCTTCCAATGGCAGTGCAGAGGTCTGGGACGAGTCCCTCGAGGCACCCTTCTGAGTCCTGCCCACAGTTGTAGGGTCGTGTGTCTGATAGTATCTGTTTCAATTGCTGCTTCGGCAACCAAGGGCTTGCTGCCTCTTCTCTACTGGTGTTACCCTATTCGTTTTTTAATTGAGGTCGCTTCGGGATGCAGTACTGATGTGTGCACACTCCAGGCTGATTAACTGATTTAAGTGGTTTTCAATCTGCAAATGCCCTGTACTGAGGTCCAATGCCAATGATTTAAACACACTTGCCCTTCACTACCCTGAGCAAATAAGAGTCTGTTGCCAACCAGATAAGGTTGAATGAAAGTACAAAAATTCTTGTGCTGGGTCACCAGCTTGTGTTGATCCATCTGCATGGTTCACCAGCAAGGTACTATGGCCCTCCATCCATACCGTATTGGCCCTCCAAAAATGGCAGCGATCATGTGGATACGGCCGCACCGGTTTCCTCAACGATTGGAGGCTGAATATCTGCAGCTGCTTGCTGTGCGTCAGTGCTGTTGCTCTTGCCAAGTTCACTAGCTGGCAATTCTGCTGTAGCTCCATCTGATGATCTACGGTCCGTTTCTTCGGCAGCATCGGCCATGCTTTCCTGCACGTTGACATTCTCCTGTGCTTGCCGCTGCTGTTCCTGGGCCTGTTCAAGCCACTTCTTCCTTTCAGCCTGCAGCGATCGGCACAGCCCTTCCAGCTTCTGCTTCTGAGCCTGCACTGTGTCAAGCTGCTTGCGCTGTGCTGCGCGCTGCAACAGCAGAATGCAGCAGAGCAAAGTAAAACGGTTAAGTGGCACATCCACTCCCTTATAGAAAGCAAGTGACCATCTGTGGACTGACAAAAACAATTACCTCATCAAGAAGCTCAATCAGGGAAACGTCAGATTTTTCAGACTTCGTCCGTAGATCAGAATTGTCTTTCTCCAGTTTCTTCATTCGCTTGGTCATCTGGAAGTAGCTCAAGTGCCAGCAGATGGCAACCGGTGCGTTAGCTGGCTAGAGTAGACATTGATACTTCCAGCCGCACTTTAGTGAAGTGTTGAACTTACCTTGTCCATTTCCTTCTTCATTGTGCTGAGGACTTCATTGCTCTTAGATAGAGTACCCTGCATACAAAACCTCGCCTTGGTGAGCCAAACAAGTTTTATTGCTTTCCATGGTCCATACATATGATAATGGGCATGCAGAACTTCTCACCTGAAATTGATCAAACTTCTCAATGTACAACGACAACTGGCCTCTCAGGTCTTTTTCTGTCTTCAGTAGTTCCTTGACCTGTTCGCCTCTTGCCTTGCTCTGCAGGAATGTGAAGGTTTATGACGAAGAAAATAATAAATGGCAGAAGAAAATCATGCTGACAAATAGAACAGACAAGCAATTAATTTGAACCCTGCGTACCAGAGCCCGTTCTTCAACCATCAGCTTCTCTTGCTGCTTGTATTTCGCATCCAGAAGCTGGTACTCAAGGTCCTTTGTCTTGATCTAAGAGCAAGTCACGCAGACGCAGGATTAAACTTGAGATTGCGAACAAAGACAGAGCAAAAACTTCAACTTGAGACCACTCACAAGATGAGCCCAGTACTTCTCCTTGACATCCGCGTGCTCTTGTATCTTCTTAAGTTGCTCTGCAAGACTGCACACAGCAGCCAGAACATCCAACAGTATGTATGAAGGAAAGACCATAGAATCAGCAGCCCGTTCAACCTACCACCATACCAGCCAAACGCTGATCTGCAGCAGCAATGTTAGCCAAAAAAATCTGGCTCACATCTGATTTTCCTTGAGGTGGCTTGATCTTTCAGCTCCCTGTTCCTCCAACCTGGTTTCAATGTCCTGCAAGCAACCAGAAGAAGCCATAAGGATGAATAACGCTCAACGACGGTAAAAAATTACAACAGCGTGGGTCCTGAAGTACCTTGATGGAGTCAAGAAATTTGGATGATAGTTCTTCTCGTTTCTGCTGCTGCTCGTTCGCAGCCTTCTTACTTTCTTCCTGCACCGTGAAAGACAACGACCAGAAAGAACATGAGAAGAAGGTCCGGAAGTACAACCGAATTTGAAAGCATGCAGGAACGTGCCAGGATAGTCTTGTTCTGCTTCTGGAGTTCACGGCACAATGTCTCCAATTTGCCTCTAAGTGTAACAGACTTCCTCAATTCGGCCATCACTGAAACAATGAAACATTCAAGCACGTAAGCACTTCAAGAACGCTATGCTTTGGGTGACAGTAAAAGGACAAGCTGGATGTCAAACCAGTTGTCTCACCAGAATCGCGTTCCTTTATCAGCTGATCTATCTTCTTTTGCAAAGCTACGCTCTCCTTATCTCCAGCCTTGGCCTCTCGCGCCTGCAATGGGAAAAGCCAGATGGTGAGAACAAACAAAACGATATGGAACTAGTCAAGCTCCGCTTACCTGCGCCATAATTTTGGAATGCAATATCTTGATCTTTTCATCCGCAGGTACTTCAGGATCGTCAACGACACGCCGTATTTGTTCCAGCGCCAGCCTCCCTCCCTTCCCTGCAAGGCTTGCATGACAAAGGTTAGCATACCCCGCGTGAAAATGCATAAGAGAGTCTACTGGTAAAGAATCATTACCCTGAGATTTGTTCTTCCCTTCGCCTGAGCTTGACTTAGAAGAGGATGCGGATGTACTCGGCTGCTTGCTTTCCAAACCGGCTTCTACTGTGCTCTCCGCAACAACTTCCAGTTCTGTGAACCCCTCTTTCTTGTCGTTAGTTTGCTCATCAGCTCGAACGCTTCCGTCCTCCACTTCCGGGACATGGACCGTCGCCCCTTTCTGCCGATCCTCTGCCTGAGGAGCTTCAAAGCTCGTCACTCCGGAATTCGACGGGGGTTGCGCTGAGTCAGCCATGCCTTCGCGAATCGTACGAGACCCTACAGAGTCTTACCCGAATGCTAGCGGCGTAAACGATGTAGGGATGGCCGAATTCTGTCTGCTGGATGACCCACCGGGTGCCAGCGAGGAGACACAAAGCAGGGAGAACCAAACGAGGATTGAGAACCAGGAGATATTGAGAACCAGTAGCACAGTAAAAAGAGCTATTGGTTCTTACGTACATAACTCAATTTAAGTGGATATAACATACACCAAAGAACATCATTGTATTCCCCCTTTTCTTTATAAAGCCCAACATGGATATAGCATACGACCTAGGAAATCTAGATGCTCGCACTTATCCTCCACTGCCCTAAATGCTATTCTCCAACATCCATGTATGGCACTAATGCGTCTTGCCGTCCATGTCGCTTCGCCTCCATTTAAGAATCCAAGGATGGTCTGAAGTAACCAACGGGCAAGGGGGGGTCAACAACAGTGAGGGGTACGGGACAATGGGTATTGGGTATTGGGACAATGGGTATTGGGTTTTGGGCCAATGGGCAATGGACTAGCTATTGGCATGGGTAGCCCAAAGACCAAGGCGTCTCTCCCGATCACTTCTAAATGATGTGCCTAGAAAACCAATAGATCCATTGACTGACTGCGCCCTGTGAGTGGAAAGCTCTAACGCTTAGCCTAACTTCCCCCTCCTGATCTGTGCACATGCGCCTCACACTGCCACACCAACACACCTAGGGAGCTCCTCGAACACACCAAACGCACCTAGAACCTGGTTGCCTGTGAATCCACTTCTTGGCTCATCCTAGACACCTCCTCCAACATTCCTGCTTGCTGCATTTGTTAGCACACCCAGTCTGCCAAACCATGACATACCTAGAACTTGGTTGCACGTGATTCGCCTTCTTGGGTCCTTCTCCAGCATTCTCACCACCAGATCCTTTGCCTCCTCCGACACCCCTCGCCACCGCGATGTGCGCAGCGTCACTGGCTTCCTGAGGATGGCATCTGTCACGCTGTGATTGGCCGAGGACCAGAAAGGCGGCGCGCCGCACAGCATGATGTAGAGGACAGCCCCCGCGCTCCATACATCAGCCTCGGGGCCATATGCACCCTTGATTACCTCCGGTGCCATGTACTCACGTGTGCCCATAACATCATGCAGGGGGACGCCTGGCAATCATTAAGGGAGGAGGAAGGGGGAGGGGGAAGATGGGCAAAGAAGAGACCACGATGTAGCAAAACACCCTCACACTCCGAACGGCCTGCCTCGGGCATTTTTTGCAGCATTGATCACCTCAGAAGGCTTGGTGCTTTCATCATGTCATCCAGTGGAATGACTGGCAGTAGATGCGTGGTTGGAGGAACAAGCCATGCATTCATGGGGGTGCCATGTGTGAAAGCACATGGCATGGAGTGCAGATCAATAGCCGATGGGGCTTGCAGCACAAGTGGACGCCAAGGGGGGGCCGGGTGTAAGGCAGCTGTAGCACAAGCTGCAAGCACGCACCTTTCTTAAACGCAGTGGCCACCCCAAAATCCGAGAGCTTGACAGGGGAGTGGGAGCGCGGGTGCAGGAGCAGAATGTTCTCGGGTTTGACGTCGCGGTGCATGATGCCCTGGCGGTGGCAGTGCAGCAGCGCCGCCACCACTCCTCTGCACACCGACGCACACACGCCCTCGCTCAGCCGCCCGTTGCACCGAATCAAATCAAACAGCTCGCCGCCCGCACAGAGCCCTGTGACGACGTGTATGTTCTGAGGGAGAGGCACAGACAGAGGGAAGGGCGAAGACGAGAATGTCTGATATGCTCTGAAATGGTTTGATTGCCATGGGTGAAAGCTCGAATTAACGACCAGGCCACCTTAGCCCTGCCAGTATGCTGGCTTGCTCACCTAATGGAATCAACTGGTCTCACATCTGCATCTTCGAACACAGCCTTGAGTGCCAGCACGTGGGGATGGCCCCCAACGGCCTCCAGACAAGCCATCACTGACAGAAGTCTACTTTTGAGGTGCCTCAAATCTGGGCTCACCTCTGCATCCTCGAACACGGCCTTGAGTGCAAGCACATGCGGATGGCCCCTGACAGCCTCCAGGCATGCCACCATGCGCCTCACATCCCTCGCATCCTCCCTCGTGACTATCCCCCGCTTCTCCACTGTCTTGCACGCATACACCTCCCCAGACGCCACCTCCACACACCTCCTCACCGTGCCCAGCTCGCCCTGCCCCAGCACCTCCCTCTTTATAATAACAAACGAGGCTGCTACATCGGAGTATTCCCTGCCTAGGACGTGGTGCCTCGGGTGGGAGTCGGCTCTTGCTGCTGCCGCTTCTTCCTCCTCCTGCGCCCTCTCCCATATATCACCACCACCATTTTCATCAGCATCAGCATCAACGTCAGTGCCAGCAGCGTCGCGAGCGCTAGTCTGGGTCGTACTGGGTCCATCCCTTTCCTTGCTCCTTCGACTGCCTGCCCTCTTCCCTTCGCAGCTCCTCGCCTCATCAGACTCATCCGCTTCGTCGTCCCACCTCTCATCCCCATCATCTACATCCACGCCTCCATCCCCCATCTCCTCCCCTTCCTGATCCCCATCCTCCTCCTCCTCTTCCTCCTCACTCTCCTCCCCCCTTCCCCCTCGCCTCTCCCCTCGCTCTGCCTGCTCCAGCCCATGAAGAGCCACCACCTGCTGCAGCTTCGCCAGGTCCTGCGGCCGCTCCTTGGCCAACGCATCCAGCATCGCAAACAGCTTGTCAGCCGCTCCTCCCTCTCCCTTCTGCGCCGCTCCCTGCTGCTGCTGCTGCTGCTGCTGCAGCGCCACTACTGCGGCTGGTTGCTGCTGGGACCTGGCTCGACGAAAATCGCGTGCATCCAAGTCGACACCAGCTGATCTAAGAGCATGGGAGTGCTGAGGTTGCTGCTGGGTCAGGGATCGTGGCAGGCGGATGGGAGCATCCTCCCTCTTACCTGTACCCTGACACGCCTCAGGACGTAGGTTAACCGGGGCCGGTGGGTGCTGCTGGGTGAGTGAGCGCGGTATGTGGATGACTGCACTGCCCTTATGGCCCGTGCTGGCATGCCTATGGGGCACGACGGTCGCCTCGCCCCCATGCTGTGACGCCACCCGCCGCACCTTACCTGCCTCCAAGGCCGAGCATGGCGGATGTGCCTGCTGGGATGCAATGCGCCGCAGCTGGGAAGCACTGGCGCCTTCAGCAGCAGCAGCACTGGCAGACGAAGCAGTGGAGGGACGTCTTCCGCTCTGTGCAGTGCTGGGGCGCGATGAAGCACGGCCCACAGACGCTCTTTCCAGTGACTCCAAGGATCCTCGCGCAGAGAAGGAGCGAGAACGAGCATGGGCCACAGAGTAGTGGCTAGAACCAGGCGATGTGGCACTTGCATCGCCTTCATGGTGCTGGTGCTGTAGCTGGTGCTGGTGCTGGTTCTGGTGGGGATCAAGGTTGTGTTGGCTGGCTCCCATGCATGAAACCGTGGCCGCATCATCCCCGTCCTCCTCGCCCCCCTCTTCCCCATCAGAAAAGCCTCCGCCTGACTGTGCTCCTATATCTTCCCCGTCGCTGCACCAGTCGCACGCCACAGAGGGGGCGTCCATGCAGAACACCCGCCTGAACCGGCTTCGCCTACCCTCTGCTGCACCCCCCTCAGACGAGCCCTCCCCTGCTGCTCCACCACCTGCTGCCCTCGCTCCGCTCACTCCACTCACTCCGCTCACCCCTCTCTGTGCTCCCACTGCTCTCTCGGGCGAGCACTTCTTCGAGCCTCTTCCCAAGGATGCTCGAGAGCCTCTTGCTCGCTCATGCCCGCCCGTCCTGCCCGCCCCGCCCATCCGCCCTGTCCGTCCGCCCTGCTCACACCCTCTTGCTTCAGCTGCCCCGTCCGCCCTGCCCGCCCTGCCTGGACCAATCACAGCCTGCCCGCTGTCGGAGGCACTGCGCCTGTGGGCCCCACCCAGTTTACGGGGAGCAGGGGCAGGAAGGCCAGAGGGGATCGACTTGGGCCTGCTTGCACCAGCACCAGCACCAGCAGCAGCAGCAGCAGCAGCAGCCGCAGCAGCAGCAGCAGCAGCCGCAGCAGTAGCAGCAGGGGCGGTGGCGGCAATGCTAACAGCCGTGGATGCTGCAGTGGCTGTGGCAGTGGACGTCCCATTGAAGGTGCGTGTGTGCGTGAGAGCAGCAGCTGAAGGTGCAGCGGAGGTGCAGGCTGCAGCGTGGCCGTGGAAGCTGGCGGACTGGGTCAGTCTCCCCCTGGGCTCGACACTTTGCAGCACAGGAGCTGCAGGAGCAGGGACAGCAGCAGCCGCAGAAGCCACAGCAGCAGCAGCGGCAGCAGCAGCCGCAGCAGCAGCAGGATTACAGGGCCGTGCAGGGCTCCCATGCATAGAGACGTCCATACTCACGCCTCTCCGGTGCGACGGGCCCTTCTTGCTGACATCCATGCTCCGGGACCGACTGTGGTGAGTCTCTTTCTTCTGAGCATCACCCTCAGCCCTTGATGGCCTTGCCTGCCCCTTCCCTCTGCCCTGCTCCCTCCCTGCCTGCTTTCCAGTTCTCTCCCGTTCCTCCTTGCCCTCTACGCCATCCATCCTCCCCTGCGTTTGGATCCTAACCATGCTCTCTCGGTCGATCCGGATCTGAACTTCCCCCTCACTCATATCGCACGCCATCATCCTCGCATACTCCGACTGGTCGCAGCTCTTGCTCTTGCTCCGCCTCCTCTCTCCATCCCTCCCCGCCTCTCTATCCCTCCCTGTACCTCTATGTCTCCCTGTCTCTCTATCTCTCCCTCTCTCCCTGCTTTTGCTCCTTTTCTCCTTCTCCTTCCGCCTCCTCTCCTCCTCCCTCTCCCGCCCCACCCTCAGCTCCCCAATCCGTCTCTTGAATTCCTCCATCTTGTTCCGCTCCCCTTTTTCATCCCCCTTATTGCCCTTCTCGTTTCCCATTCTCAGCGCGTTCAGCCGGAGTCGGAACAGGGACATCTTGTTTCCGAGCACCCCCTCATCCGAGTGCCTCCTCACCTTCAACTCTTTCAACCTCTGCTTGAAAAGTGTCATCTTTTCGCTCACTGCATTGCCCTCCGCCAGCCAATCAGAATCCGCCACGTGGCCACTGATATCCTCGCAACTGCTAGGTCTGGGGAGCCTTCCTTGCGCTCCCTGCCTTTCCTCGGGCGCAGGAGCCGTTTTTGGCCGCGCAGAGTGTCTCCTGCTCCCCCCTCGCTCGGCCACCATCTCGTTACAGTCACTCCAGCAACCCCCAGATTCATCACCATCCGCATCACTCAGCCTCGATGCTGTCACATCCGTTTCTTGCACTGGTCTCGCGGCTAGATGGCGTTCCTCCTCCGCCTGACTCGCCTGCTGACTGGTGGCCGCATCTAGAGGACTCTCTGGACGGTCCAGATCGAGCAGATCTGGTGCAGATCGTGGCTGTGGAAGAACGGACAGCTGAGATTCACTCTCTGATCTCCTGTTGGGAGCGCGCTTGCAGTCTCCGTCCGTGCGAGATCGGCAGGGTTTGATGGGGCCTCCCTCAGTGTTGCTGCTGCTGCTGTTGCTGTTGCTGCTTCTCGAGCTCTTGCTGCTCCTGCTTGTCTTCGCGGTTCTCTTGCTCGAGCTCGGTGACTGACACTGTATCGCGCCCTGTATATAACGAAGCTCGGAGGGCGACGTGCTTATATGGGGCCTCTGAGGCCCGGCGCAAGATACGGACTGGGAGTGGGGGAACAGCCCTTGTCCGAGGGAGGGAACCTTCTCATCTGCATGGGTCTGCGACCGCGGCAAGCGTGCTTGTACCAGGTGTGACTGTGATTGGTGTGATTGTGAGTGGAGTGATTGTGAGTGGTGTGACTGTGAGCCATCGGAGCTGGAGTGCGGGAAGGCGGAGGAGTAGGGGCTGCTCTGATCGTCGGTCGCGGATTGCGGGGACGGGTGGGTATTGTCTAAGATAGCGGACTGGGTAGAACAAGATCGGACGGAGCCGGTCTGAGGCGATAGCCGCGAAGCAAGACGTGTCGCTGAGTTGTCGCCTGCCGTCTGTCGCCGTGCGACTTCAGCGCCTCCAACGGCCACGGCTGCAGCAGCCGTCAGGAACGCGTCGAGACGACCAGCTTTATTAGGCGAGAAGATATCGGCGGGATTCATGGCGGGCTTACAACTCAGACGAACGACCGTCGAGGTCGACGCTGAGCTCGAGCCACCGCCATAGTCGCGAGAAAACGGCCTGTCCGCATCAGAAGCCGTAGCCGGCCGCGTTCTCTTCACTTTATTCGGCAGCACATGCCCGGCAGCACCACGGTTGACGTCGGCGTCCGCCGCCATTGTGTGTCTCAGCGGATTCGCGTTATTGAGCCACTGGAGAACCTCCGCCTGACTCGCTCCGGAGGGGTGTGGCTGGTGGACCATCGCGATGGCGGTCGCAGAGGCCCGGGACGCTGGCGGCCGCTGCGAGTGGCTCGAATGGGCCGCGGAATGGGAAGCCAGATGGGAAGGGGGGTCTTGAATGGAGCCTCGACTCCGTGACCGACGGTGCTGGCCGTGCCGCTGCTGAGCCGGCTCGTCGCGGCGGTTTCGGGAATGGTTCACGAATTCGCCCTCCGCGCGGATTGGTAAGTGCCAAGGATTTGTAGTGTCGCTAAGCGGATGATTCTCCGACACAATGTTAGCCATTGCGATGGATTTCACTGAAAGCACGTGCGTAGCGTCACGGCAACGGCTGTAGAGTATACGGTGTACTGCGTATGGTATACAGTGAGTTCGTGCTAACAACGGACGGAGACTACCACCGAGAGTTGTTGAATGGAGCTATTGGATCCTTTGGAAAAGAACGCATAGAACTGATGCGCATGGTCGCAGCAAAAGCGACCTCACTGCCCAAGCAAATGACGAGTCCATGCGCGACAGTATCGATGTGAGGCGTCTACTTCTAGGGACGGTCTTAGCAGCTGGCACTACACAATTGCTCTCCATGGCTGCTCTCTGTGAAGACAAACATAGCAGTTGGCTGCTATGCTGCATGCTGAAATGAGCAGCTAGCTTCCTATGTCAAGCCTCCCTGGAAAATCCGATGTGATGAGGTCCTGTATGATGATGACATCCAGTGGGGGGGACGCCGAAGAAAGGCTGGACCTTGGGAATGACGAGCTGTGGTGTGGTGAATTCGAAGCTGCAAGCAGACTAGAGGCGCGAACTGAAGAAACCTTAGGATTGGGGGGATCGAACGGCTGGATGGGACGGAAAGTCTGGTTGGGTTCGAAGCAGGGCTTACTTTTGGGTTTTAGCCACCCAAATCAGGCTCCATGAGACTTTACCCTTAATGTTCAGGGTCCAGATAAAGAAGATCCTCAACCCTCGGGGTCTTTTTTCATAGTACCCTCCTCACAGCCGAGGTTAGAATCTGCATAGCTCCTACCAGGAGGGTACGGGCACTACGAGAAAGGTGAGTAACGTGTGTGGGGCTGTGAGAGGAGAATAACGAGAGTTGCCTCCCCTCTGTTGGTGACCACGAGGTGTGAGTAACATGCTGTGAGGAGAGAAGTACGAAATAATACGAAGGGAGCTGTCTCCCCTGTTTGTGACTACGAGGTGTGAGTTGCGTGCTGTGAGGAGAGAAAATATACGAAGGGAGTTGTGTCCCCTCTGTTAGTGACTGCGAGGTGTGAGTAGCGGGCTATGAGGAGAGAAGGATGAAAATATAATAAGGGAGTTTGTCTCCCCTCTCTTTGTGACATCGAGGTGTGAGTGACGTGCGCGGCACTGTGAGGGGGGAAAAATGGAAATCCAACAAGTATTTCCTCCTAAGGAAAGCCCCCAAGTCCCTACTACCAGCACTAGTAGTACACTCAGGGGGGGAATATATTCCGCCTTTAACTCCAGGGTCGCACCCTAAATAAACCCTGAATATTTGGAGGTTCCAAAAACCAACTCTTTAGTTGTGGAGACAGCTGGGAGAATGCCTTTTATATGACACACATTCAGGGCAAGAACCCCTGAAAAATAGGCCCTGGTTCCAAGGGCTGGATGGAGGCAGGGAGGGAGGCGACAGGTGCTACCCAACGAGCGAAGCGCGGACAAGTGGCATGACATGGCCACAAGCACGCGACGCAGTAGCGACAAAACCAAGGGATCGGCAACAAGCTGTTGGTAGCTGGCGAAATGGATTTTCCAACTGCCTCGGTGTCGCATAATTATTCGTCGCGAGTCGTTCAGCCAGACGAGATTGCGAAAGCGAAAGGGTAAGACGTCGCTCATTTCGTTAGACATGGTTACAGTTCTGGGCACAGTAGAGAGTTCACAGGCGTGTGTCACACGCGCGAGGGTTGGCGAAGGGCCATTCGGGGGAGGATTGCCAACTGGAGAAAGTGCTGGCGAGCCGTCTATACCAGCAACACCAACTTTTTTAAAACCGGACTTTCTATAATTTAGTTCTGTGTCGTTTCTGAATAGACTGGTTTTTAGACCTACCTAATTAACATTGCTACAGCCTAAGGCTATAAACCAGTTTAACACTACCTCTTTCGTTCATGCTGTTGTAGCCTACACCTCCTGGAACCATCTATGTCCTGCAGATAAAGAAAGCAGCAAACGACAAGAAAATACTCAGATACAGCAGCAGCCAACCAAAAGAGCAGAGAAAGTAGCACGAAATACCCCTAAGCCCCCTGTCCTTCGGCCCTGTCCCCCATACCTGTTGCCTGGTGCCAATACCTACGCTTACGCCCATGCCTAAATAGCTTGTCCCCCCTTACCTAGGGCTTGCAGTGCTGTGATTCGCCGGTGTGGGTTCTTATCCAGCATGGACCGAACCAGATCCTTGGCAGCTTCGGACACACCGAGCCAGGCTGCCGAGGCAAAACGAAGAGGCTCCGAGCGGATGGCTCGGAAGATGCCCTCATTGGTTTCTGCCCAGAAGGGCGGCACGCCGCACAGGGCGGCATATGAGACAACGCCGGCTGCCCACACGTCAGCCTGTGGCGACCATACCCCATCGAGGGTCTCTGGGGCGAGATAGAGAGGAGTGCCGCACAGGGTGCTACTGCGGACGCCTGAAGAAGGGAGGACGGATGAACAGGACGAGGAGAGATGCAAGGGGTTTGTGGGGTGATGGGATTGATTGAATGAGCAAGAGCATACATCCTTAAGTATCTAGCATCGGAGAGGATGGGAAGGGATAAGGGAGAATCGAAGGGAATCCCAAGGGAATCCTCCCAAATCGTGGGGATTTGGGATAGATTGGGTTGGGATAGGTTGGGGATGAAAACATAGCTACACCCAACCTAACAAATATGCGTATCCCTAAAACCAACAAAGTGCCAACACACAAAGTTGTGCCAACCGAATTGCAGCCTATCTCTAACAAAAGGGAGATGTAACCGTAGCAGGCTTGAGGGTATGATATTCGTTCAACGATACATCGCTTGTTACCACTGCTTTTACCTGTTTGGGGCTCCGAGGCAATTTCAAAGGCCATCAGCCTCCTTGGTTGATGCTCAGAAGCGATCCCAAGATCAATCAGCTTAACACTGCCAAAGTCACCCTCGTCAGTCGCTATAAGCATGCTCTCTGGCTTCACATCGCAGTGAGGCAGCCACCAAAGCCGCCCGTCTGGTTCATGGCCATCTAACCGCGAAGCCCTCACCTGGCTGGTGCTCCGAGGCAACCCGAAATCGATGAGCTTGATGCTACCAAAGTCCCCCTCGCCCCTCACAAGAAGCACGTTCTCGGGCTTCACATCCCGGTGCCGCACGCCACGGCCTCTCACCTGGCTGGTGCTCGGACGCAATCCCGAAATCGATGAGCTTGATGCTACCAAAGTCCCCCTCGCCCCTCACTAGAAGCACATTCTCGGGTTTCACATCCCGGTGCCGCACGCCACGGCCTCTCACCTGGCTGGTGCTCGGACGCAATCCCGAAATCGATGAGCTTGATGCTACCAAAGTCCCCTTCACCCCTCGCGAGGAGCACGTTCTCGGGCTTCACATCGCGGTGCAGCACGCCACACTCGTGGCAGTGGTCTAGCGCCGACAGCAGCTGGAAGCAGACGGACGCCGCCGCCCGCTCCGTGAGCGGGCCGTTGGTGCGCATATAGTCAAAAAGGCCTCCCCCGCGACAGAGCTCCATCACCAGATGGATGTTCTGGCAGGGCGACAGAAGCGAGGGGGGAAGGGTAAAAGGCAGAGGGAGGGACACATATGGGCCGTTGGGCGCACGCAGTCAAAGAGGCCCCCCCTTTCCCTCCCGCGGCAGAGCTCCATAACCAGACGGATGTTCTGGATGGGTGACAGAAGCGAGGGGGGAAGGGTAGAAGGCAGGGCTTTGGGAGACACACACATGAATACGAATTTGATCCTTGACCAGGTGGATGTTCTGGCGCACAGGACGACAAGGAGACTTTTGAGTCGACTAAAAAGTCACCTATGTTCTGGCGCAGAGGACGGCAAGGGGAAGATCAATACACGGCAGAGAGCAGTACCCCCCCCCATCCCACCCCAACTGCTGTCCCTCTCAACTCACCTGGTGCCCCTCTCGCCCCACCTGGTGCCCCTCTCGCCCCACCTGGTGCCCCTCTCGCCGCACCTGGTGCCCCTCTCGCCCCACCTGGTGCCCCTCTCGCCCCACCTGGTGCCCCTCCCACCCCACCTGGTGCCCCTCTCGCCCCACCTGGTGCCCCTCTCAACCCACCTGGTGCCCCTCTCGCCGCACCTGGTGGTCCTCGAATACGGCGTGCAGGCGAATGACATTGCTGTGCCCCGCCACGCGCTCCATCATCTCCACCTCCCTCCTCAGATCCCGTGCCTCCTCCGCTGACTGCCGCACAAAGGAGATGGGGGGTGGGGGCGGGGGGGCGAGGGGGCGAGGGGCCGAGGGGGGAGGGGGAGAGGGGGAGGAGGGACGAAGGGGGGATGTGCAAAGGACAGAAAGAATGACGATGGTGTCCTTCTCGATCGTCTTGCACGCCAGCATGAGCCCCGTCGCCACGTCGTGCTCTATCCCCTCACACCCCCTCTCTCTCCTCACTCCCGCTCCCTCCCTCACAAACAGATACACACTAACCGGCATCGACCCTCACATTAATGGTGTCCTTCTCGATCGACTTGCACGCCAGCATGAGCCCCGTCGTCCCCTCCCGGCACACCCTGACCACGCTGAACTCCCCCATGGCCACCACCTCGTCCCTTCGAACATCAAACTGCTCCCCAATGTCTTGGTACGGCTGCCCCAGGATGAACGCGCGGAAGACTGCATCCATCCCCACCGTGTGCCTCTTCGGCCCCACCCACCCCCGCCGCCCCTCGACTGTTGCCTCGGGACCCGCTAACCCCTGCTGCTGCTGCGGCTGGAGGTGCTGGGGTTGGTGGTGGTGGTGGTGCAGGTGATTATGCTGCTGCTGCTGCTGCTGCTGCTGCTCCAGTGCATCCAGGCGTTGCTGGATGAGCAGCCCCTTTTGCACCATCGCAGCATCTTGAGCCGTGAAAGAGGCACTCAGCTGCTGATGCTGCTGCTGTTGCTGGAGGTTATTCTGCTGCTGCTGCTGCAAATGAGAGAGAAAGGTTCGTTTCTGGGTGGCAACCGCCTGCTCCCTGTCGTCCCCAGGCGACCCCCTCCTCCCTCCCGCAGGCGAGTACCCCCCACTGCTACCGGGGGGGGAATACTCCCTGCCACTGCCACTGCCACTACCAGGCAACTGCTCCCCAGCCATTCCCACCAGCCCAGGCACCCCCCTCTCGTCCTCGTCCCTCTCCTGCTCCCACCCCATCTGCCACTCCCTCTCCAGCACCCTCGTCGCCTCGTCCTCCCCTTCAGGCGTCCTCGGGCTCCGGCCACCTACTGCCCCACCCATCGCCCCCAGAACTGCTCCCCCTGCCACTCCTCCCATCCCTGCCCCCACCCTGCGGCCGCCACTCCTCCCACCCCTCCCCCTGCTGCCCCCCCTGCCCCCGCTCCCACTCTCCCGCCTCCCAGCGCCCCCCCCGTGACTCCTCCGCGTGCGCCCAGTCCTGCGCGCATGATGGCGGAGCTATCAAGGGACATGGTGCGGTGGTGCTGGTGCCGCTCTCTCCCCCCCCCAACCGATCCGTACTGCCCCCGCCCCCGCACCAATCCTGCCCCCATGCTGCCTCCTCCCCCCACTCCTCCCGCCGCTCCTCCCCCCGCTCCTCCCCCCACTACACCCCCCACTGCCCCCACAGGCCTCTTCTCACTACTCCCCCCACTGGTGGATCTGAGCACTCCGCCCATTCCCCCTACTGCCCCCGCACTGAGCCTCCTCCCCTCGTCGCGTCCCCCCGCGCCCTCCCCCTCGCCCCCCCTTTCCCCCACTCGCTGCTGACCCTCCTCAGCGCGCGAGGCGGCCGTGACGTGGCAACGGGCGGAAGACCGTCGACTTTGTTACCACTGCCACTATTCGACCTAAAGAACGCCCGCCCAGAGCCGGTGTTGGATCTTAAATACACCTGACCGTTAGTCGTCTCAGCACCGCTTCCCCAACCCCCATCTCCGCCGCTTCCCCCTCCTCCCCCGCTTCCCCCTGCTCCCCCTCCAGATCAAGCCTTTCCACCCCCAATCCATCCCCCCAACCTGATGCCCCTTCCCCCGTTAACCCCCCGCCCCCTGCGCCCCCAAATCCCCCTCTGTCTGCGGGGAGAAGCTCCGCCAGTTGCCCCATAGAGCGCATCCGCGGGCGGTGCCCCCGCATCGGGGGAGGGGGGCCGCGCGGATTGAGTGCTGGCGGGTGCCCAGCGGGGGGTTGCGGAGACGCCTGCTGCGGGCGCAACTGGTGCTGGTGGGCGGGCACCTGCGCAGGGGGGAGGTGTTGCTGGGGCGGGTGTTGCTGCGGCACGAATCTCTGCGCGTGGTTTGCGCCTCCTCCGCCGCGCCCAGCGCCAGCAGCGGCGGCAGCACCGTCGATCATCCCTGGCCGCACAGGCGGCGCCGTAGTGGCCTTCTGAAGCCGCCGCTGATTGGCTGAATCCATTACCGGGAGGGACACCTGCCGCTGGTAATGCTGCTGCTGCTGCTGCTGCTGCTGCTGCTGTTGCTGCTGCTGGTAGTATTGCTGTTGCTGCTGGTACTGCTGTTGCTGGTGGTGTTGCTCCTGCGTGATCAACAGTCGCTGCATCTGCACGTGCTGCACCTGCGGCTGCTCCTGGCTCACGTCCAGCACCTCCCACGTGCGCGTCTCCGCGCGCGACGCGGACATCATGCGCCGATGCATCCGCTGCGGAGGGGGGCGCTGCGGAAACCCCGCCTGCGGCGGAGGCTGCTGCGGCGGTTGCTGCGGCTGCTGCGGCAGGGACATCCCACCACCAGGCACGGCCATTCCTCTTGCCGAGCCTCCCCCCGAACCTGTCGGCAACCCTTCAGATCCCGAGCTGAATCTACCTGCGACAAATCCTGCCGAGCCTGCGCCTGGGGCAGCCATGGGCCGTCTCCCCCCGACCAACATTTTCCGCGGACCGTCGATCGCGTTGAGCTTTCTCGCCGGCTGCGACATCGAACGGTTGAAACCGCGCGATTCACTCGCGCCGTTGCCAGCTGTCCCCGCTCCCCCCGCATTTCCCCCAGTCCTAGCGGAAACGGGTGGCGGAGGGATCCTTGCGCGGACCTGCGCGGGCCCGAACCATCCAGAGTCCGCGGAAGGCATCGTCGCGAGCTCGTAGTTCTCGTCGTCAGAGAGGGACGGCGACTCAGGCGACACTAATGTGCGACTGTTAGTCGCACGGTCTTCCGGAGCAGTCGCTTGGGAGTCCTGCGATGGTTTGCGAGGTCGCACAGCCTCGCATCGTAGCAGCTGCGGGACAGGCTCGTCGTCGTCCATAGGATGTGCGAAACAAGAGGGAAAAGCGGAGCCCAAGACGGCGATGTTCTAGAATCTAGGAAGGGATGACGTGGGAATGAATGAGAGGAATATGATCTGAGGTGAGCACTGAGCAGTGGTGAAGAGGAGCATGAAGCAGTGGGGTGTGAGGAGGACACACTGAAACGGAAGATGCTCTTGTGGCGGCATTCCCCAGGTGAGGGAAAACAAATCGAAGAAAACAGATCCCGAGACAGGATCGAGGGGGTGTGCTTGTAACGAAGAGCTGGGACCCAGGCAGGGACCACAGTTGGGAAGAGTTCGAGGGTGTCGCGTAGTGGCACTTGCCACCCGCAGGTGCGATCGAGACAGGACCAGCGGAACAGAACATTAATTTCTGGTTTTGAAACAGAGCCATGACATTATTAGACATGGTATGCTTGGATAACGCAAATAAATTACACTTACATCTGTGTGACATCCACATTCTTCTCCCCACGAAGAGCTGCCTGGATTCCTCTTGATAGCTGCTCTATCTTGAATGGCTTCACTGCATAGCCATCCATCCCCGCTTCAAAACACTGCTCCTTATACCCTGCCATCGCATGTGCTGTCAGTCCTAAAATAGGAATCCTGGCTCTTGCCGGTGGAGACTTTTTATTGCCAGCGTTTTCCGCTTCAAATTGCCGTATCCGCTTTGTTGCCTCCAAGCCATCCATTACAGGCATCTGTGGGATCAGGGGAGGGGGGGAGAAAGGAGGGGGGAGGGTAAAGGGGGGAATATTGGAGTTGAGGGGGCTGCGTGATGTGTGTGAAAGAGAGGAAGTGGGACAACATACTGATACGTCCACAACGGCACTAATATCCTTCCCCAATTCCACTCCACCCCATTCCCCGTTCCCCTACCTGAATGTCCATCAGAATGAGGTCAAACGACGCCGCCCGTTCCTCAATCGCAGTGAGCGCGAGCTGTCCATTACCAGCAATCTCCACAGTGGCCCCCACTTTAGTCAGTGCATGCTTCGCCACGCGCTGGTTGACCATGTTGTCCTCTGCCAGCAGCACGCGCACCCCCGCCAGCAGCATGGGTCCGCGCGCCCGGGCGGAGGGCACCAGCGGGCCCGACATGGACTTCACTGGCATGCGCACCCTTGCCACTGCCGCTGGTGCTGCCGATGCTGCTGCCGCTGCTGCTGATCTTGCTGATGCTGCTGCCGCCGGTGCTGCTGGTGCAGTAGAAGCTGATGACTTGGCAGCTGATGCTCCTGTTGCTGGTGCTGGTGCTGCTGCTGCTGCTGCTGCTGGTGCTGGTGCTGCAGGTAGCGAAACTGATGCTGCTTTTTCAGCGGCAGATGGTGTGGCCAACACCGATGCCACCCCTGGAGGTGAGAATGCTGCTGCAGCCATTGGTGCGCTCAGAGCCACGGTTGCTTTGCTGCTGCTAGCTAGTGGCTTGCCGTGTGATGACTGTACAATTGACACCAGCGGAGGGGCAACACTAGTGCGCACCGCAGTTCCCATAGTGCTCCGACTGCCGGTGCTAGCAGAGGCCGTGGTGGCAGTGGCAGTGCTAGCAGTGGTGGTTGTAGAGCTAGAAGTTGAGAAGAGGGAGGAGGAGGAGGAGTAGGAGGGTCGTCCAGAGCTGCCAGCTGCACCTGGCTCTGACCCCTCCATACTGATCCTTTCAGGCTCCACCCGCTTCCCTGTACCCTCGAGTTCCAGTCCCTTGGCCCTAGCCTTGTCAGCAGCAGGCCCACCCGTACCTGTCTCTGCACCAGCATCCTGCCTTCTGCCTAGTGCTGCTGATCCTGCCTTGTGCTCTCCTGCTGCATCCACCTGAGGAGAAACCTGAACCTCCAGCCTGCCAGGTGGAGAAGCAGATTGCTGACCTGGATGCATGGACCACTGAGCTGGCGAAGCCGAGCTGGCGGTGCCGCCAGGTGCCTGCCTTGCTACAGTGGAGGGCCCAGGCAGCAGGAAGGGAGGGCCCTGGAGGAGGCCTGGCTTGGGCTTCACAGGCAGCGAGCGCACGGAGCGAAGAGGGGCAGCGGGGAGGGAGGCAGCAGCCGAGGCAGAGGCAGAGGGGGCAGCTGCTGCTGCGGTTGTTGCTGTTGCTGGCGGGACGAACAGAGGTGGGTCTCTGGGTACTGCTGGGCCAAACACTCCCAAGCCTGATGTGGAGCTTCGGCCGTACGACGCAGCTCTGGTGTGTGAGACGAACCTAACAGCCTTGGCACGACCACCAACCGCACCACCGGTAGCCTTCCCAGAAACACTCTTACCACCTGCTACCGCACCCCCAACACCACTGCGACCTACTGCTGCTGCAACTCCTGCCGCTCCCCCTTCTCTTCCCCCTCCTCCAACCATCCCTCCCCCCTTCTTCCCTACACCATCACCTCCCCCAGACCCCGCCTCCCCGCGCTGCAGGGCAGAGGCGGACTCGACAGCCGCCAGGTGCAGCAGCAGCAGCCCGGGGTCGGAGCGGCGGTGCTCCAGGCGCCGGGGGGCCAGCGGCCAGAGGGCGGACAGGTGCGGCGGGGGGAAGCGGTAGAACTGCGACGAGACTCGGCTCCGCAGCTCCAGCTCCTGCAGCTGCTGCCGCTGCCACGCCGCCTGCTGCTGCTGCTGCTGCTGCTGCTGCTGCTGCTGCTGCGGGTGATGCTGCTGGTTCTGCCCATGTTGCTGCTGCCTCATCTGCTGCTGCAGCTTCTGCTGCTGCAAGATGAGAATCTGGCGCTGCTTCTGCTGCAGGGACGGCTGCCACAGCACCGGGTCAGAGATGGACGCAGGAGCAGAGGGCTGCTGCTCGGGCAGAGGCACCAGCAGTGGGTGATAGTGCCCGCCTGGAAAACCACCTGGGTGCCCGTGGCTCACACCTGCAATGAGCGCCCCCCTCTCTGCTGCTGTGAGAGCGTCTCTTTCTGCTGCTGTCATGGCTCGGTGTGACCGCGACCGGCCCAGTCGGGGCGAAAGAGGGACGGCTCCAGGGACGATGGGTGGGAGGAGGGGCAGCGAGGGGGAAGTGGGAGAGGTGGCAAGGGGAGCGAGAGGTGGGGATTCTACTGCTGCGGGGGATGTCGGGAGAGGAGCGTCCAGAGCCACACCAGTAGAGCTGGCGGCAGTGGGAGCAGCAGCAGTGGAAGCAGCAACCGAGGGAGCAGGAGGAGGAGCAGCATGCGGAGCAGCAGAGGGAGCAGCAGAGGGAGCAGAGGCAGGAGAGGCAGCAGTAATGGCGGCAGAGGCAGCAGCGGAGGAGGGGTCAGGAGCAGCAGAGAGGGAAGGGGAGCGGCGGCGAGCAGGAGGAGGCAACGGGAGGGCCGGGTCCTTCTTAGAGGGGCTCCTCTGGAGTGCTGGCAAGGTGGGGGAGACGGAGGGCTGTGTATGGGAGGAATGGGAGGGATGGGATGACAGAGACGTGGATACGGCAGGGGTAGTCCCTGCAACCAACCCACCACCAGTGGCAGACGCTCCAAGGGCTGCCACAGCCGCAGCTGCTGCAGGCTCGTAGCTGCCTCCGGACCTGCTGCCTCTCAGGCTTGCCAGACCTGATGCAGAGGTTCGGACAGCCGGAGCAGCATTCCTACAGTCACCCCTGCTGTGCTTGGCCGTGCTCCCAACCCTCCCGCCATGCCTTGGCCCCCCGTGCCGTGCCCCCCCATGCTTGCTGGATCTGCAGGTGCAGTAGCAGCGAGGCGGTGAGGTGAAGCAGCGGCAGCAGGAGAAGAAGAGGAGAGGAAGGAGGCGCCTGTCTGTATGTCCATGTCGCCAGCATCGACATCCCCACTGCTCCCCGTTGCGACGCTGCCAGAGCTGGGTCGCGAGGACCGGAAGCTAGTGGTCGACCTTTCATCCATGCTGATGTGGCTGGGATGCATGCGCCGGGCAGCCACCGAAGCAAAGAACGGCCGGGCAGCCGGAGAAACATTAGCGCCCGCAGGCCGAACCGCCGTGGAAGGTACGGGGGCGAGAAAGTCCCAGTCGTCTATCAGCTGCATTCCAGCCATGGAACCTGCCAAACCTGACTGCACAGGCTCGGGAGACGAGGCCTGGTTGGGAGGTACGGCGCCTGGAGGAGCCAGCTTTGGGGGAGAGAGAGAATGAGAGGAATCAGATGCGAGCTTGGAGAGCGGAGGGGAGAGGTGGCGCCTGGAGGAGGCAGGGGAGCCTGCAATGCCCCCCGAGAGGCTGACATCGCGGGCAAACGCACGCCCTGCTGCGGACCGTGATGTGACGGACTTGGCTCTCGCCATGGCGGTTGGTGATGCGGGAGGATTGCCGTCTGTGGATGATGTGTCTGAGGGCGTGCATGTGCCCTCTGCTCCCTCTGCTCCTGCCATCTCCTCTCCTGCTGCTGCTGCTGCTGCTGCTGCTGCTGCGGCTCCATCTGCTGTGAAGCGCGCTGCTCCTAACTCTGGAACTGCGACCATTCTTTCTTTTCTGGCTTCCTCCCTCCCTGCTCTCCCTCCCACCCCAGCCTCTGCTTCTGCAACTGCCTTCGCTCCTGCTTCTGCTTGTGTTCCTATTCCTGCTACTGCTTCCACTGCTGCAGGAGCCAAGTCAGAACCAGAGGCAGCATCCGCCACAGAAGCAGCCACTGACGCCCTCTCATCTACAGGCCTTCCGCCCTGCACACTCCCCCGCCACTCCCCCCCCACTCCCCCATCCGCTTCCCCCCCACCCGCCACTGCCTGTCCCCCCAAGCCCCCGCCCCGCGCCCCACCCCCTGGGCGTGCGCGGGGAGAAGGCAGCGGCAGCAGGGGAGGTGGGATCCTCTAAGTCCCTCCAGATGCGGGAGGCGCGGGGGGAGGGCATGGACAGAGGCGCAGCAGCAAAGCCAGCAGGGGGAGCTGTGGCATGTGCCCCATGTGCCCCTGGGTCCCTGCCCCCTGGAGGCGAGGGCAACTTGGGAGAGGACAGCTGCTTGTGGAATAATCGTCTGGGTGATGGCAGGTTGGGAGAGGGGAGGCGCGGGGATGGGTGTGCGGAATCCCGATTGAATCCCGGACCTGTCGCTGCTCCTCCGAGCCTAGCACCGGGCCTGAGAAGTACGCCGAACGTGAGGGCGGAGGGGCCTTGCCTTCAGAGGCGGAGGTAGGGAAGGGGCGAGGGCTGGGGATGGCGATGGTGGGAGGAAGCGTGACACAGGGGGGGATAATGAACTCCGATCTCGCTTCAGCCCCTCTTTGCCCCCTCTCCCCTCCACTCCTCACACCACCGTCACTCTCTCCCTCCTCTCCTCTTGCCCTCCCTGCCGCTCTGGCACTAGCAACCGGCAGAGACGCAGCTGACAGCAAGGGCGCAGCGGAGTGCAGAGTGAGGAGGGAGCGCGGACTGGGAGGGGGTGGGATGCCGACCGAGAGGGAAGCAACGATGCGCGGCCGAGGCGTGGCTGCAGGCGCGGACAGGTGGCGTGCTGGCGCTGGTGCTGGCGTTGGTGCTGTGGCAGCAGGAGGAATAGAATGAGGCGCGAGCACTCCAGCAGCACAGCAGCAGCAGCAGCCAGGGGAGCGGATCGGGTAGAATCAGCGGAGAGGGAGTGGGGGAAAAGCATGGTGGCAGGGCTGGCGCTGGCATGTTGAGTGGAGGGAAAGGTGGGGATGCGAGGGGGGCTTTCAGGCGAGGAGACCAGAGGGGACTGGGGCGCAGTGGTGAAGTCCGTAGTGTACCCTGAGCGAGCCGACGCATACACAGAGCGAGCAGGAGTGTGCTCTGCTGACACTCCTTCTCGTATTGAAAAATACTCGTTATAAGCCCCATGCTCTGACATGCTAACAGAGGAGTCGAAACGGGCGATTTCAGCTCCGTAAGCAGCGAGAGGGAAGCTGGGCGGGAGGTCAGAAGGATGGGCGTAGAGAGAGGAGGAGGCGGCGAGGGAAGGCGGGGAAGAGGGGTCGAGGACGTGGGTGGGGTCTGGGAGAGGGGTGGCGCCAGGAGGGGCGCGTTCGAGGCGGGCTGTGAAGTAGAAGGTGGAGCCCTTGCCTGGGTCGCTTTCCACCCACACCTCGCCGCCCATCATGTGCGCCAGGCTGATGGGGGGGGCGGGAAGGAGGGAGCAGCGGCAAGAGGCAGGGAAACAGTACGTCATTCACCTTGCAAGTGCTGCTGCCCGAGTGTACAAGAGGCAGTATCTTATCTTACGACGAGGAAAGAAGGACACTGCCCTCTGCCCTGCCACTCACCTCTGCCCTGCCACTCACCTCTGCACGATGCTGAGCCCGAGCCCAATCCCCCCGTAGTCGCGTGTGTACGACGTGTCGGCCTGCACAAAGTTATGGAAGATCTCGCCCTGCTTCTCGGGACTGATGCCAATCCCCGTGTCCTTCACTGACACCAGGATCCACACCTCCCTCTCCTCTCCCCTCCTCCTCCTCCTCCTCCTCCTCCCCCTCCCCTCCCTGCCTCCCTTCTCTCCCCTCTCCCCCAAACCCATCACCCCTCCCCATGAAAAGACTCCCCGCTGAGCCCTGACCATCCGCTGTCAAGTCTCCTACTGAGCATGCCCCACATGCCAGACCCCATGCCAGACCCCACCATCTCCCTCCGCCCGCTGCCCCTCCCCTCCTCCTGCTCCTCCCCGCCCCCTCGGCTGATAGGCCTTGCTACTCCACCCCACCCATCCGCCCACTCCCGCTTATCCTCGCACCCGCGCTCGCGCTGGCGCTTACATAAGTGTGGTCTGGGTGGTGGCGGAGCAAGGTAGGGTCAGAGGCGGGGATGAGCATAGTGGGATCCGAGGCAGGGATAAGCATGGAGGGCTCCGAAGTGGCAACGAGATGGTCTGAGGGGAAGGCACGGGAGCGAGTGCTGCTGCTGCGGCTGAAAACAGAAGAGACGTTGCTGGGTTGGCTCCTGAGGGGCGCGGGTATCAGGCCGTCTGGGGCAAATGCACGTGAGCGCGTGCTGCTGCTGCGGCTGAAGACAGAGGAGGCGTTGCTAGCCTGGCTCCTGAGGGACCCCATAGCGAACATGCCAGGGCTGTGGTCCCGGATACCAGCTGAAGACGCAGGGCGAGCGCCAGCAGGTGCTGCTTGGGGGCCTCCTCCTGCCATCCCAATCGAAAACCCCATCCCTTCCCCAGCTCGTCCTCCCAACCCTGTTTCCTCAGGTACCTTTGACGATAGCGGCGGGCTCCTGACCTTCTTCCCAGCAACCGCCTTGCTGCCTGCCTCCGCCCCCTCCCTCCTCACAAACGCACTGCCCAGATCCGACCACTGCAGCTGTGCGTTAGACTTGAACGCGCCTGCTTCTCCGCTCTCTCTTCTACCTCCGCCCTCCCCTCTCCCCGCACCTGTGTCTTCCCCATCCCTGACCTCACACCAGCACCACTCGCACCAGCAGGCTCAGCCACAGGATCAGCCCTGGGTTCAGCCCCAGGTGCGGAATCAGGTGCAGCTCTAGCAGCGGACCCCGCCTCGGCTCTCTCACTCGCATTGCCCACATCAGCAGTGGCATCTGCAGCACCATCAGCAGCGTCAGCGAACCACACAGCAAGGTTGGTTCTAGACCCTTTTCTCGAAGCACTCCTGGACCCGGTTCGAGACGCACAGCGCGAAACACCCCTAGACATCCCCCAGACCCCCACCATCTCCCCCTTGCGAGCAGAACCCAGCACTCCTGACCCGCCCTTCAGTGCAGAACTAATAACCCCAGAACCCCCCCTGAGGAACCCTCTGTGGCGGATCGCTGCATACCCCGCATTCGCACCGCACTCCCCACCGGCCCCCCTCCCCCCCGAGCTCGAATCAGCCCTCTCTCTGCATAATTTAGGCCCAGCAGGGGCCGCTCTGCTGCTCGCTGATTGGCAGAGGAGGAGTGGGAGGGGAGGGAGGGGTAGGATGAGCTGACCAGCCCTGCTGCTGCTATCTTTCCAATGGTGCGCAGGCAGCTGCTGCTGCTGCTGATAACCGCTCGAGGCGTGACGTCGTCATCATCATCATCGTTATCATCATGATTATCTTTCTCATTTTCGTGATCTGTGCTGCTGCTGCCGCTGCCGCAGCTGCTACCACTGCTACCGCTGCTCCCTCTGCTCCTGCCCCTGCTGTGCCTCCTGCGGTGCGAGATAGGCCCCTGCGCGGCTGGCTGTTAGTCAGCAGCTGGGCTTGTATCGAGTCTAGGGTTAGCCTGGCCTTTGCTGCGGCATCTCTATCACTCGTGTCGGAGTCACCAGCATCTGGGTGTTCTCTCCGACCCCCCTGGTACAGCCCCACTCCATCGAAACCCTGTACCTCTGCGCCCCCTCTCCTCCTCCCGCTCCTCCCACCCGAGCCGAACAGCTTGGCTTGGTCACTCCCGGACCTGACCAGGTTTGCACGGGTCGCCTTAGCTGTGGGTGGAGCAGAGGAGTCTGAGTACCAAGCAGCATCCCCCTACCCCCATGGCATTCACGTCCAGCCCCTTCGCCACTGCCTCCCTCCATTCCTACCCTTCCTCCCACCCCCTCTCGTCCCAAGCGCACCTCCTCTCCTCGCCCCTCCACGTCTCCTCTCTCTCTCCCTGTGAACCTCCCTGCATGGCCGTTCCCCTGGCTGTGCCTCTGCCGATGCCTACCCGTCTTGCCCGGTCGGTCGCTACCCTCGCCCTCTGCCTCTCTCTCCCTCCCGGCCCCTCGGTCCACCTGCCCCTGAATGCGCTTGCGGAGAGCGAGGGAGACGTCAGTGGGGACGAGTATGTTGGTGTTGGTGCTGGTGTTGGTGCTGGGGCTGGTGCTGGGGTTGGTGCTGGGGTGGGCAGCAAAGGAGGGGGAGATGGGGGCGGAAAGGTGAGCGGACACAGCCCCCTCCCTGCCTTCCCGAGAGGGGGGAGGAGCAGGGGGAGGGGAGTGCGGGGCGGAGGAGGCAGGGGGGCATGTGGAGGATCGGGGGATGAAGTGAGGGAGGTAGTGCGGCTCGTCTAGGAGATGGGGAGCATCATGCTGCTCCGCCTCCTGCTGCTGCTGCTCCCCTTGCTGCCCCCTTGCTGTTGTTGCTGCTCTTGCTCTCGTTGTTGTTCGTGTTGCTGCTGATCTGGCAGTTGATCATGTTGCTGCCGGTGCTGCTGGTGCTGATGGTGCTGCTGGTGGTGCTGGTGCTGGTGGTGGTGGTGGCGATGGGTGTAATGCTGGCTGCCGCTGTTGCTGCTCCGTGCCTTGTGGTGCTGGCTGCTGCTGCCGCTTCTTGTCTGCTGCTGGCTGCTGCCGCCGCTTCGTGCTTGGTGCCGGGGGCGGGAGGGGGGCAGAAGAGCAGAGTGATGTCCAGATCCACGGATCCCTGGTGGGTGAACTTGATAGCGTTGCCCACTGCCATGGTAACATATGCCATGCCATGCCATGCCATCCCATGTCATGCCATACACAAGAAGATAGAGATGACACAGAAGCGATGGCAACATGAAGGTTGGGAAAACGGGAGAGTACCTCATGACAGCTCAGTGCACTCACACATGTTGACGACATAACAGTGAATCAACACAGCAGTCGGCCGAACTCAGGCATAACAACAAGTACAACTGCATCTATTTTTGAGGCGCCTCAAAAACAGGCATAACAAGTACAACTGCATTTATTCTTCCTCAGCAGCTCACCACCCACCCCAGTACCCACCCAGGTTGATGATGCACTGCTGCAGCTGAAGGGACGGAATTGGCAGTAAGAAGGTAAGAAATGGCAAGGGGGGATGCAACCAGCTGAAGCTAAGGGAGGGTGGGGGGGAGAGGGGCAGAGGGCGACGTTGGTTGGGTCCCCCAGCACGGTGTGGGTTCCAGCCCTTTAAGATGGCTCAAACCTATCAATGTGCCTCATTACCCATTGCAGAATACCCACCACCCACCCCGGTACCCACCCAGGTTAATGATGCACTGCTGCAGCCTGCCCGGGTCCCCCAGCACGGTGTGCGGAACTCCCTCCGCCACCTGCCACGAGAAGAGCAGCTGCTTCTGCTCCGCACGCACCTGTGTGGCGTACACAGGGAGAGGGCAGGGAGGGCAGGGTGAGGGGTGGAGGAGGGGAGGACAAGCAGCGGCGCATGAGAGGCGCAGATGTGGAGAACCGCAGCGGCTTCTGCTGGCAAGTGGACCACCTCAGCCCCACCCTCACCTGAGGGAGACAGGGAAGCGGAGAGGGGTGAGATGACAAGCGCAAACGGCGCGCCCACCTGCTGTGAGATGAGTCTACTGGCCTGCAGCATGCCCATGGTCGACCTCACCACGTCTCGCACCACGTCAGAGCAAACGGCACCCTATCCAGAGCCAGCTGGCCCACCTCGATCCTGGAAAAGTCGAGCACGGTGTTGGCGATGTCTGCTGGGTCGAGCGGGCAGTCCTCCGACTGCTGACACCCACCAAAGCCCACCTGCTGGAGCGACTACTCTCACCTGCAACATGCGCATGGTGGACCCAACCATGTCCCTGAGCGCAAACGGGACTCGGTCTAATGCCAGCTGCCCCGCCTCGATCCTGGCAAGGTCCAGCACTGTGTTGGCGATGTTGAGCAGGCAGTCTGCCGACTGCGCCACGACCGTCAGATGCTCGTGCAGCTCCACCGTCAGATCGTGCCGCAGGGCCAGGGCCTCCGCGGAGACGCCGGGTGCAGCGGGGTCTTGGGAGTCGAAGGGCGCGAGGTGGAGGGACTCGAGGGCGTCGAGGGCGAGCGCTGTCATTCCGATGATGCCGTGGATGGGCGTGCTGGGGTGGGGGGCGGAGAGGGGACATGGAGGAGACGGGGGGGAAGCGCAGGGAGTTGGGAGTGGAAAGGTGAGAAGTGGAGGAACCGGAGGGCGTCGAGGGACAGCACTGTCATCCTGACGATGCCGTGGATGGGCGTGCTGGGGGCAGAAAAAAGCAGTGCATGGCCATCCCACAGTACAGAGAGACGTGGGGGAAGGAGGTGGACTTGGAAGCAGGACGGCAGCTTTTTGGAGGTAAAGTAGGGACGTGAGAAGAGGTGCTGGTTTAGCTCATCTCAAGAGAAACGATGTGATGCACTCCGCTGCAGATTCGGGGATGCATGTGTGAACATGTTTCTCTCATGCACTTTTTTTGAGGCGCCTCAAGATTCGGGGATGCATGTGTGAACATGTTTCTCTCATGCACTTTTTTTGAGGCGCCTCAAGATTCGGGGATGCATGTGTGAACATGTTTCTCTCATGCACTAAGCATATATTTGCAAGCGTGAGCACGTTTCTCCCATGCACTATGCATATGAGCACGTTATTCTCTCATGGTCTATGCGTATATTTGCATGCATGAGCACGTTGCTATGAAGATGCGTACCGGATCTCATGGCTCATGTTGGCTAGGAACTCCGTCTTGGCCCGGCCTGCCTCCTCTAACTCCTCCTTGGACTTCTTCAGGTCCTGCAAGCAAGGGCGCAGGGCGAGAGGGCGGGGTATTCAGGAGGAGCGGAAGGAACCATGCCAGGCAACCAGCAATCTATGCTGGTTGCTCCTCCAACTCCTCCAACTCCTCCAACTCCTCAAACTCCTCCAACTCCTCAAACTCCTCCTTGCACGTCTTCAGATCCTGCAGGGGCGGTTGGCGGGGACGAGGGAGGGGTAGAGAGGAGAGTGGCGACGAGGGAGGGGTAGGGAGGAGAGTGGCGACGAGGGAGGGGTAGGGAGGAGAGTGGCGACGAGGGAGGGGTAGGGAGGAGAGTGGCGACGAGGGGGAAAGGTAGTGAGGAGGCGTAAACCATGCCAGCCACCACGTAAGCCATACTGGTTGCTCTCGCCCCATCTGCTGCCCTTTCAGTCTGCTCCCATGTGAGGCCATCACTGCAGCAGCCCCTAGACCCCCCACCCTCATTCTCTCACTTCCTACCCGCCCTCTCACCTCATTCACTGCCTGCATCTCCTCAGTGCGTCTGGCCACCTCCCCTTCTAGAGACAGGTTCAGCTGCCTGAGCCCCTCTCTCAGCCTCCTCGTGTCCCTCACTGCCGCCGCCAACAGCACTGCCCCTAAACTCAGCACCACCACCAGCAGCTGCACCTGCAGCACCGTCCCATTCGCCGATTCTCTTACTAGTGGCCCCCGGCCCTGCGCCGTGCAGAAGCACACAACGAGGACGACTATAACGAGGATGAAGCCTGAGCCCTTGCGGTGGAAGCGGATGCATGCCCAGAGGACGCCCGGGAACAGCATGTAAGGGAGCGCGGCAGTGGCAGCAGTGGCAGCCGTGGTAGATGGGGCGGCAGGGGTGTAGAAGAGGAGGAAAGCCATTCCAGTGTTGAATAGTACCAAGGAGACGAACTCCCAGAAACGCAGGGAGGAGAGGGCGCGGCGCATGGTGAGCAGCAGGGGGTTTGTCAGGAGGTTTTTCAGGTGGTAGCGGAAGGGGCGGCGGAGCGTGGCGTAGTTGAGGGTGGGAGTGGTGGTGTGGTGGGAGAGGTGGGGGGGAAGGGCAGAGTGCGGAAGGAAGGGGGGTATGGAGCCTGCTGCTGCCCGCACCTTCCCCCACTGATGTCGCATCTACATCGGATCCTACAGCCATTACTGACGCCACATCCACACCCAGGGGTCGTCGCCCGTGCTGCTCATCTAGGGGAGGCTGGATATTCGTGGCAGCAGCGAAGGCTGATTCAGCTTCGGAATGGGGCGATTCAGAAGCATTCAACTCCTGCCCCTCCTGCCCCTCCTTCCCTTCCTGCCCCCCCTGCCCCCTCTCCCCCTCCTCCCGCCCACACCGGCACAAGCACCAGGCAGTGACCTGCATGAGCAGCGGCACCGTCAGCACGATCCCCGTGAACGACCCCAGCGTGCGCAGCCCCGCTGCCACCGCCACGCTGTCCCCCGCCAGGTCAGCGTCCCACATGCTGACTAGGACCGCAGCCACCCCCTCGAAGAGCAGCGAGACGAGGAAGGAAAACAATGCGAAGAGGAAGATGTCTTTCACGCGGTCGACAGGGGTGAGGTCGTTGGGGCGCAGGCGGTGCAGGATGCGAGTGAGGAAGAAGGAGAGGGAGAGCACGGAGGCAGTGCGGAAGGCGGCGATGAGGAGGGACGCGAGGGCGACTTGAGCAAGGGTGAGGTGCGCTGTGAGGTGCCACGCCGCCCCCGTGTACACGAGGAGCGCGCTGCCCAGGAAGATGCCCGGCCATGTGGCCCAGCCGAACACCTGATGGAGGGGGGAGGGAGTGGCCGGATTGGGCAGAGGGGGACAGAGTGAAAGAGATCAGGAAATGGTAGGAGCGTGGAGGGGTGTAATAGAAACAGGCTGGAAAACGAGATGGGAAGGGGAGGGAAGGGAAGGGGAGGAGAGGATACAGTGCACGGGCTTACGAGCACGGCGAAGAGGGCGAGGCCGGACGTGGACCAGACCGGGCAGGGAACGAGCAGCGCGTGCAGGGATAGAATAGACAAGGTAATCAACAGGTCTGCTAAGGGCCCCGTGTGAGGCTGGAAAGGCTGGAAAGCGCGATGCTTACGAGCACAGCGAAGAGGGCGAGGCCGGACGTGGGCCAGACGGGGCAGGGCACGAGCAGCGCGTCGCCGATCTTGCCGAGCCACGCCATGAAGAGCGACGCGCCGAAGATGACCACCGCCACCAGCAGCACGAGCACCGCCCGCCAGTACCACCACAGCCGCCGCGCGTCCACGCAGAACGGCCAGAGGTGGCGGTTCCCCCCGTGCACGAAGCACGCTATGATGGCCTCTGAGGAATATGACGATGATGATGCTGCTAGGCCTGTCTCTGAGTCCGAATAAGTTAACCCCTCGCCCTCCTCCCCTTCCCCATCCTGTTCTCCTTCACTCGAACTCCGATCCTCCCTGTCGTCACCCCTGTCTCTCCTCGTCCTAGCGTCCCCCTCCCCTTTCGCCTGTCCCCCCTCGCAGTCATCTTCTCTCCTCCCCCCTTCGTCTCTGTTTCCCCCCTCTTCCGCCCCCCTTCTCTCTGCGACATCTGAAGCAGCACCATGCCGCTGACTGGGAACGGGCCTCTCCAGGCCACTCAGTCTTGCTGCTGCTGCTGGAAGCGAGGCAATCCCAAGACTGCCTGAATCACCGACGCCTGCTACATCCCCTGAACGGAGTCCCGCGCTGGTTCCTTCCGCGCGCGTGCCTGGCGCCTCCCGCGGCTCCCCCTGCTCTAGGTCCCATTCTTCCGCGCGGAACGACGCGAGCACGGGGAGCCCGTCTAACGCGCCTTCGCTCAGCCGCAGGTCCGGCTGCGGCGATTGGTCGATACTGACGACGGCGTCTTCCGTGTTGCCACGTGGCAATAGCCGTTCGACCGGATCAGGCGGTTTCAGTGCCGGATGCAATGGACGCTGCGACGAGTCCATTGTGCTGGACGATTAATTCTCAGTTGGTCGACTAGTCCATACTGGTCGCTAGTACTCCTATCCGTAGCAGGACTAAGCACACGAAAGAACCGACATGTCATGGGTCATGCCGACTTGTCAAACTAGTCTGGTTCGTGGAGTCAGAAGGGGGCTTTGAGATTTGGAAGGACCGCGAAATGTTGGTACGGGTTATAACGATAACAACAGCTGAAAATACACGACGACTCTTCTGACCGCGGTCGATAACTCATAGCTAAGGCTCGATAAGCATTTCACTGAGCGTCCGTCGCAATCTCCTAGCCCCGCGTTCACCTAAGGCGTCAAGCTGAAGCAATGAAATAGCAATCGCGTCTCTAGTTGATTGTCTCAAGAATCATTTCACTGAGTGTCTCGCGTTTGCTATCAGGCACGGACTTCACAGAGAACGGCAAAGCAGCCGACAGGATGCACTTGTCTTCAAGATGTGAGGGACAGGGGGGAGTGACCAACAGGGGGTGGTGGAGTGGAGGTGGGGTGGAGTGGAGGGACATAGGGAACTGTTCTGATACCCGCTGCAGTGAGCAGGAAACTGTGCTTGACGGAAATTGGTGCAACTGCCAGAGTTGTTTGTTCCATGAGGGAGGCGTTACCATCAGTCCTGACTGCGAAGACACGCGATAAGAGCATGACGCCGTAATTACGGTTTCCACAAAATGAACGAGGACAAACAGGCGTACACCCCGATGTCAGGCCGAAATCAACAAGAGCCTATCAACAAAGCATCACATGCATGGATCATTCAATTCATTCTAAGCTGCTCTATCATGACCTAGGAGGTGCCACTGCAAGGCCGAGCCTGTATTCCATCATCTCATGCAAATCCACAAGGGGAATTTCCACCTTATCTCCATAACCTGCGAGCGAGTCCAAGAGATATAATTTTAGCCATCCCAGCCCAATCCAGGCATTGCCCATTGCCATCAAGTTGAGATGGCTTGTACTGGACAGGCTGTAAGGAGGTGAGGAGCTTTGAAATTGAAACCACTTACCGACCACATCTTCCACTGCGAGCTCATCAAGAGTACCCATCATGGACTGCAAGCCAAGATGAGATGACGGGAGACCAGGCAACCGCTTGACTCTGGAAAACACAAAAGCATTGTAACATGAAATGGAAGAGAAGTGCAGAATGACCATGACCATGTTGCCAGAGAAAGAAAACATTTGCCACAGCAGAACAATCCATAATTCAAACGCAGGATCTGAGCAATATTACTTACTTGGACAGTATTTGCCGCTCCATGTGCAGCTGCGCAGGGAAGGCTGACCCATAGACCCTCCCCAAGTTCATGTCAACGAGACCCTCATGCTCCTTCAGTCTCTGGAAAAACAGGGAGATGACCCAAGAATAGTGTCTGGTGTCCTACCGTTTCCCCACCACTCATTCCGCAAGAACCATATACTTCTCCCAGGCTATCATGATGAATCAGAAAATCGAATAAATATTTTTACCCGAGCTTCAGGGGAAGGACACCGAGTCAGCGCGCCTTAACGCCATGATTACCGCAACACAAAGGCCCAAATGCTCGCGATATAGGATAGTCGCCGCTAAAAAAGGAAGACTGAAACTCTGCTGCCATCCGTGGGAAGATGTCACACAGAAGGCAGATAACATGAGGAAAGGGTATACCTGGAACACTGGTGCTCAACCGAATACTCACCATGAGACATGAAACCTATCACGAACCTGTCTCTGTATCTCTTCGACCGGATGAGCGGCAGTCACTTCGTCGCGGAGCTGACCGAGACCAAATCGCATGACATCGCGAGGAGCCTCGAGATGCGGGAGAGACATGCTTGGATCCTGATCAAAATACGCGACGGACGTATTCACACAAAAGTACACGTCAGTTCACGCAGATGCATACATCTTAATTGGAAGTGTGCGTAAGCTGGACGTCTATTCTTGGATCCTACCATTGCTCGTAGCTCGTTCACAGGTTTCCAGTCTACCACAATCCTTAGCAAGAGCAGGCATCAACAAAGAGCAGAACTCTGGCGAATGTCCACGTTTGAACGCTGTTTGCTGATTCAACTCCGATAAGAAACGGGAACACGAACAATAGGTCTGGTCATGTCACCAAGCACATACGCTACAACATAATATTCGTACCAACTCTTCATGCTTACGCCACAAAACTAGCTTATGCCCGTGTTCTTATTGTCTAAGCATTTCATTTCGATAGATTAAAAATATCAAACAAACGTGTAACCAATACTACAGCATACCCATATGTGTACTCATATTTGCTTGATTGCTCTCATATTTCACCATGCTATGTGTGCATCTACTAGTACTACAGTTTCATCTGTGGCTTCTTCAATACTCTGGGGTCACCCTGATTGGTACCGTAATCTCCCGGATATTCGCCCCTAGGAGCGTTTATAGGACCTGATTGAAAACGTGGGGGGGTGTAAACGAACACAATCATGTGTATATGTTTGTTGAGATAACTTCGACCTTCAAACGACGGATGCTGGTACGGGAAGTGAAGTGGCGACTGGTGGTGGCGGCAGTGGCGGCGGCGGTGGTGGTGGTGGTGGTGATGATGATGTGAAATGTGGTTGACAGTGTGGAGTGGATTAGCTCTAGGCGAACTAGCTGGGTGGTGGTGGAGGTGGGGGCAGAAGGAGGGCGAGATGGGGAGAACGGAATGAAGGTGGGCGACAAGTGGAAGAGCCAATGTACCACAGTGTCGTATGCCGTGGTTTTGCATGCCATCCTTTGGTACACCATGGTATAGCATACGATGCTTGGTACACCATGGTGTGGCATACGATGTTTGGTATACCATGGTGTGGCATACGATGCTTGGTACACCATGGTGTGGCATGCGATGCTTGGTATATCATGGTGTGGCATGCCATGTTGTGGTATAGCATGCCACATGCACTGTCCTCCTTGCTTGACATTCCCCAAGCCACTGCCAACCTGCAATGCCATTAAAGGTGGGGGAATGTCAGGCAAGTAAGGTGGGCGGGAAAAGAAGTCAGGGGTAGCTGAACGGAATAGAAAGAGGCATATAGCAAAGGGAACGGAAGAGGGGGAGTCAGATCGAGATGCGGGGAGGGGAAGAGGGGAAGGATGTCACGCATGGTTAACTGAGGCTAGAGCTCGCAACAGGAATTGGAATAGGCACTGCGATTCCCATCATACTCACCCTATATTTCATCCTTACCCATGTTGCTCACAACTGGACCAGAGTCAAGAAGCTGCTGGCAACTCCGAACCTCGGCCCTTGACACGTTCTCCAATATCCTTTGCTGCCCTTGTTTTTGTGACGTCATGGAAAACGTTAAAGAGAACGACGGGGCGCTTAAGGGAGGGTGAGAGAGGAGACAAGCAAACGGACGCAGCAAAATCATGAAATCTGAAAACAACCTGGTCAGCTAGTAAGCCCAGCTTGCATGTGCGGCATGGCTATGGCTAGTGTACATACATCCCGTACACCACACATTGGATTTTTCAATGGACAACTACTCAGTCTCTTACAAAGCATCATGGCGCACTATATACAATATATACCTTTAGCGCATTGCATTTCACGCTCTATTCACGAGCCTCCATTCGCACCCCAGCAATCACCTCCATCAACACACCATTTTAACCTTGCAGCGTGTATATAGGAGTCACGCAGAAGGGTTAACATCTCAGGTTCATATAAATGCGTACCTCACTAGCTAGAACACAAGGAGCCTGTCACACAACGGGTGCACACACCTGGTGAGACTAGATGATCCTTTGTTGCTCACATCATGACTCAATAAGCCTTAAGCTTCTCTCCCTCTCTGCCCTCGCCTCTCCTCCCCTGCTGCGGCTAGCTGCATCCGCAACTCGTCCCTCTCCTTCTCCACCTATGCTAATGCCGCCTGAGAGAGGGAAGATTGGGTAGGGTAGGGGGGTTGGTTTGGCGGGAATGGAATTTGAATCGATCCAGAACTCCCCATGTCTGCTGGCAGCAGGTTGCTTTCACAGCAGCTGCTGTAGCAGTAACTTGAAGAGCGGGGAGGTAGGAAGCAGGGCGAGTGAGGGAGGGCCGGCTGAGAGGGAAAGAGAGGGTGAACTGCAACAGAGAGAGGATGGGGGGGAGGGGGGGGGGGTGGGATAGATGGGAGATGCATCCACAAGATGATATAGCAAACACACCCACTCGTTTCCAAAGCACTCCTCAACCATACCACCCCCCCCCCCCCCCCCCCCCCCCCCTTGCCCCTTCTGCTCATCCACCTCCCGCCCGCCTCCCACTCATTCCGCTTACCTTGAGGCTCGCGATTAGCAGATCCCTCTCGTCCAGCTCTGCTGCCATCATTGCCACATGCATATCCTCTTGCCCCGCCTTCACTTGCCCCTCATCCCCACCTCCAGCACCACTAGCACCACCACCAGCAGAAGCAGTAGCAGAAGCACCAGCACCACTACCACCATCATCAGAACAACTGCCAAAAAGACCAAGGCGAGTAGAAGGGTTGGGAGAAGGTGGGGTGGGAGCAGGTGCGGCCACCCACGCGCGCTGGATGTTAGGCACGTGCAGCATGCGAAGCCGAGGCAAGGAGCTGATGCCAGTAGGCAACGAACTGATAGACATAGCAACCTGCTGCAGACAGACGTAGCAGAAAGTCGGAGATGCATCCACAAGATGATATAGCAGACACACCCACTCGTTTCCAAAGCACCCCTCCACAATACCACCCCCCCCTTGCCCCTTCTGTCCATCCCCCTCCCGCCCCCCTCCCACTCATTCCGCCTACCTTGAGCCTCGCGAGTATCAGAGCCCTCTCGTCCGGCTCTGCTGCCAGTGTCGCCACACGCATATCCGCCTGCACTGCTTTGCTTGCCCCTCATCCCCACCTCTAGCACCACTAGCACCATCAGCAGCAGAAGCAGCAGGAGCAGTAGGAGCAGCAGAAGCAGCAGCACCAGTGCCACCATCATCAGCACTACTACCACAAAGACTCAGGCGAGCTGCAGGGTCGGGAGATGGTGGGGCGGGAGCAGGTGAAGCGGGAGCAGGTGGGGCGGGAGCAGGTGGGGCGGGAGCAGGTGGGGTGGGAGTAGGTGGGGCGGGAGCTGGGGGGGGGGAGCAGGTGGGGTGGGAGCAGGTGGGGCGGGAGCAGGTGGGGTGGGAGCAGGTGCGGCCACCCACACGCGCTGGCTGTCAGGCACATGCAGCCTGCAAAGCCGAGGCAAGGAGCTGATTCCAGCAGGCAAAGAACTAATACAAAACCGCATTGAGCAGATCGCCAGAAATGTGAGGTTCTTCAACTCTGAAAAGCTCCCTGGCAGTGCCCTCTGTGAATTCCCCTCAAACGATAGTTGCCGTAGCTGGGGCAGCGTGGATCCAATGTATTCTGGAAGCCTCTCTACTCCAGGCCACAGGATTGTCATCTTCGTTAGATATGGGAATGGCAAGCGGAACGGAAGCTCCGTGGCACCGTTGCCCAGTCGCACGGTCAGGTCCTCCACCTGCGGCAATCCCCAGGTAGTGGCCATGGGCTCTCCACAATCCACCGTAGGCAGTTGCAGCTCCAGCGTCCTTGAGTTCGGTACTATGGAGAAGTTGGGAAGTGAGGTCGGCAGGCGTAGGACTTCTAGCGAGGGAGGGAACGAGTCTGGAATAGCAGTCGACGGCTCACACACTGTCAGGTCCAGCTCATTGAGCCTACCCAAACTATCCAATTTTCTTGGCACGGAAGACGAGAGCTTAACGTTATCACCCCCGAGTAGGCACGACACTTCAAATTTGATGGATTCAAGGCGAGGGAGGCTAGCAAACGACTGAGGAAGCTCGTCAAGGTACCAGCAATCCATAAATCGCACCCTCCTTAAACTGTGCAGCTGTGGCATGCCTTTGGGGAGTGCTGTAATGTCAGAGCAATTGAGTTCAAGGTCCGTCAACAACGACTTGAGAGCAGAAAGGTGGGAAACATGGGCTGGCATTTGGAGAATCTGGCCACACCCGTTCAAATAGAGCGCATGCAGTGAGGTGAGGAGGTAGAGTGAATCTGGGAGGGCAGAGAGGGACAAGCACTCCAGCAGCAAGACTCTGAAGGCCGACAGGCTGGTAAGAAGGCGAGAATGGGAGAGGGCGAAGAATTCCAAGGAGGTGAGAGAGGTAAGGTCAGAGAGTCCGTTCAAGTGGCCAGTGACAGTGAAGCCTTATCCTCTCCCAATCCACCCAGCAATCCTATTTGCTTCTTGCACCACCCGCCTGGACCTCTCATCTCATCTGCTGCTAACCTTGTTTGCCCCCTGCATGCATGGAAAGCGGTAGGAGAATACGTGAACGTTGAGCAGGAAGATGGGCAGTGGAGCAGTATGGGGTCAACGCACAGCACAGGGTCGACACCACACCTTCCAGGTTACCCACACCCTCCACACTACCCACGCCCTCCACGTAACCCACGCCCTCCACGTTACCCACGCCCTCCACGTTACCCACCCTCTTCACGTTACCCACAACCCCCACGTTACCCACACCCTCCATATCCGTCAGCAGACATTGAGCCTCACACCCACCTGCTGACAGGCCGGCATGCCACATGGCCCCAGCACTGGACAATACTGGTGCATGTGGAAAAAGCGGTGGGGGATGGTACAAGAGGAAAGGAGGGCGAGGAGGGCGGATGGTAGAGGAAGAGTAATGAGCGATATGGGTTGATAATTTCCTCTTTGGTTCGAAAGCAGACACTCAATGGCAACACAACACGCCTGGCCTGAATCCCGGAGCGGAAACCATGAATCTGAAGCATGGGGGAATGACCCACGTCTTGGCACCAAGTGCATCGAAGGTTTATCTAGCTGCTCCCACGGTCAGCTGGCGGCCGGCACTCCAATTGTGAGGACAAACACCGCCACCCTGACCGGCAGACCCATCATCCAGATCGCTAGCAACAGGCAGAGCCACAGCTAGAAGGCGGGTCCACATGCCTCATTGCCCACATGAATGGATGGTATGGTATGGCACAACTGTATTTTCCATTACCAA